AACTTACTGAAAATTCATTTAGGAAAAGGTAATTTTTTAAAATTAAAAAAATTATAAAAAGAATTTTACTGCATATTTTTATTAATTGAGGTAATAAAAAAATTATTATAGAAAAAAATCATAAATTTTAAAATTAATAAAAAAATTAATTTTATTATTTTGATTTAAAAAAAATCTTATGAGGTCTTAATTAGACTAAAGAAAAAATAGTAAATGTAATTTTTTTATAAATTTAAAATTTATCATTTTTGAATAAATTATTTTTTGGTATCGATTATAAAATTTTTTTAATAATTCTAATTAAACTGAATTTTTTGAAAAAACTTTTTTATGTACTTATTATGATGAGTTTATCAAATTAATAAATTAGATTTTAATAAAATTATATAATATTTAAAGTATTATTTATATAGTTTTTAATAGTTTCACCCCTCCAATATTGATAAAATCTATAGTTCATTTATCATTTTTAGTAACATCAAGAGGTAAAATATTTAATTAGTATCTCATAAGATTTTATTTTTTTAAGATCAAAATAGTAAAATTAACATATTTTTTATTAATTTAAAATTTATGATCTCTAACAATAACTTTTTTATTACATCAATTAATAAAAATTTCTAATAAAATTTACTTTTCGTAATTTTCTTAGAAAGTTTACACACTTACTTTTTAAAAATTAATTTTTGAAAATTTTAATAATTTTCTTGAAAAATATCCTCTAAAATTATATAATTTTTGAAAAAAAATAGAAAATTTATAAAAAAGATAATTAAGTAATTTTATTTGTAAAAATTAAAAAAAAAGTGTGAAGAGAAAAAAGATGGTGTATTTAGAAGCTTCTATTTTTTGTTGTCTTCTTAGCTCTCAATTTACCCCTTTAGCTTTCTTCCTCTGACTACACCTTCTCAATTGAAATAATTTTAATTAATAAATTGGTCCCAAAAAAAAAAAAAGAGAGGTAAAATCAGTGAAATGTTGAAATATTTTTGTTAGTTGCCAATTGTTCACAATTTTTTCACCGCAAAATCTTACTAATTGTCCTTTCCTTGAATAGTTTTTTTTTTTTTGCAAGTTTGAATAGTTATGCTTCAAATTTGTAAGTTTGAAGAGTTGGAATAGATTTTGCAATTAAGAGTACAATTTGATGACTTCAGGCAACTCTGTGAAGCCATGCAAATATACGCAAGCAGCTCATGCCTGTTCTTAACAACCGCACCAACTCTGACATTTCACTTCACATCTTGAAAATGTTTGGTTTGGGAACCTAGGTCCCTTCCAGCTGATAAAACTATTCATGGCATTCATCCCAAAGGGTAAATGGGATGATGTTGGTGAACTACCGACTGCTAATTTTGCTGGTTTTTTTTTTTTTTTTTTTTTTGTGGACGTGTAAACCAGTTATTTAGTTTCATTCAGCAACCAAAGATATCCCAAAATTTACTAAACCTGTCACTAGTAGGATATAGTTTATTCAAGTTCATCCAATTATCCAAAGCTTGATCACTTGTCAAAGTGCTGTCAAGTTCTTTTATTGGGGTGGCAATGTCGTGTGAGACTTTGTACTCTCAGCTTTTATAGGTAACAACTGCAAGTATGCTAATGATTTTAGCAGAGAGTAAATCACCCGAGTAATTGACAAAACTTCTGCAGGCAGTAATTAGTAGTGAGACAAGTCTGGAGTAAATCATAATCACTGGCATATATCTCACGTATAAAAACAAGGATGAGTTTGTGGACATCAAATTTGTTCAAATCTTAATTGAGATTCGATTTAAAATTCATCGAATATATTAGATTTTAAGACTCAAACTCGATTTCGATTCAATTGTATTCTAAATTTGATTTTGATTCAATTGAGCTTCAGGTCCAATTCGATTCAATCAGGCCTAAAACCTCATTTTTTTTTTTAAGCCCAAAGCCTGATTATCTTTTATTTATTTTTTTTATATTAATTTATTAGTTAAATATATTAATAATAAAAAATTAAAAAAAAAATAAAAGAGACAGAGGTGATAATGATGCCTTGCACGACACCACTGGCCACCTACCCCTACAACCATTATGCTTCTTTGTAACCCTAGCCATACCCTGTCGATACTCATACCCTACAAACCTTGTTCACCCCCTGTTTACTAGAGCCATAACCCCACATACCTAGAAGGCTAGCCCTTTAAAGCACCAAACTTCTACCAAATTTGAGGCTCCCAAGTTCAGAAAACCCTTTGGCCAAACTAAAGAACCCAAAAGGCCAGACCCTCAGACACTCTGCTCTCGCATACCCAAAAATCCTAAACCCTCGAGTCTTTCACGTTTAGAAATCCCTAGCACACGCCCACGAATCTAAGGCTCCACCCTGACCCATCACTTTGCCTAGCCACGTCCAAGCCCTATGAGCCCTTACCCTCTAACCTAGACACTAACCAAGCCAAGAACCCCTCACCTATTAGAAAGCTAGGAACCCAAAACACCAAACCACAACAAAAAAAAAATAATAATAATAATAAATTCACAAATAAAAACACACAATCCCTGTCAATTAGGTAAGGAATCCAGCACTAAAGAGTTACCTACAAAAATAAAAAATGCATCAGTTTTAGTTTTTTTTTTTTTTTAAAAAAAAGAGAAGAGAGAACGAAACTTTAAGCCTCAATCTATGATGATTAAGGTTGTTTCCGGTTTAAAAAAAATCAGATTTGAAAAGATCATGTTGAAGAGAACATTTAAGAGTTTTTTTGTATTTTTCGACAACTGATGGCAACCATTGACGACGCCTGACAAGGTGATCGGCATGACTGTGGAGTTCGAATGCCGGTAGAGCTATTGGAGCTATGAAAAATTTTTTTGGTTGAAAGGTTTGAAATGAAGTAAAAAAAAAAAGGCTTTATATAAAAAACTAAAAGCCCAAAACGCTATTTAAGCCAAGAAAGATCTGTACTTGGACCCGAACCTGACCCGAGATCCATTTAACTCGATCCGGTAACCTTTCCTTCAGCCAACCTCGAATTTGTTCAATCAAACCCTCACCGAACCATCTCTCATTCGGTTCAACCGAACCGAACCACTTAATCACTAAGTGACCCAGACCAGTGTTGATCAGACCGTTGATCGATCCGATTCAATTTTTTTTTAATTTTTTATATTATTATTTTTGTTATTTTGAGTTTTATTTTTAATATTTATACATGATAAATTTTTTAATTTGTTAGAATAATTATTTGATTATTTTTAATAATAATAAAAATGGAAACAATATACAAAAAATAATAATAAAAATAAATAATGAAATATATGGTTAATTTTTTTATAAACCATACAGAATAATAATAATAATAATAATAATAATAATAATAATAATAATAATAATAATAAAATGCTTATAAAATAGAGTAATAATTTTTTTCATGCTTGGATGTTGGAAGAAATAAAAACATTTTTCTAAAAATAATTTCGTCTAGATGTTGGAGAATTATAAAAAAATAAAAATTTTAAAAATATATAAAAAAGATACAATAAAAAATGATAACAATTAATAAAACAATAACACTAACAACAACAACAACAACAACAACAATAATAATAATAATAATAATAAATTTTCATAAACAAGGGAAATATATGAAAAATATTTTAATTAATTTTTAAAAATCATAAAAATCGAATTTGATTTTAAAATCTACATAGATATTGAAAATTTTTAAAAGTGTTCGGGTTTTTAAAAACTCTAAGCCCTAAACCCCTCCAAACATTAAACATTGAAATTCCAAATCCTAAAATCAAACCCTTAAAACCATAGATCCTCAAAACCTTAAAATTCAAAAATCTTAAAATGCAAAATCTCAAACCTCAAAACCTAAAGCCTAAATTTGACATGTAAACTCGAATTATCACAAAAAAATTATTCAATCTTTAAAATCTCGACCCATAAACTCTTATTCAAAACTATTCCAAGATTCTAAGGATACGTGTAAGAATCATGCTTGAAATTATTTGTTTTCAAATGTCGCCTAAATAATGTGATATTTAAGAAATTTTATTTCATTAAATTTTCATACGAGTCCTTAATTTGTATTAACAAAGGGATTAAACAAACAAATGAATAGATATAATGGGACCTTAAATATAAATAATCCACAAACGTTTTACCTATATGTTGAAAAATTAAGGTAGTCTCATTATATTTAAGAATCTATTTTTAAATTGTATTTCATAACCTCGTATAACAATCATTGACATACATACATCATTATGTTAATGTTGACATTCATTTTGCATTTTTCTGTCTTTAATTTTTATCTGTTATCTGATAATATAATCGTTGGTATCTTCGTATAAAAATGTGTTTAATTTAAAAACTATGAAATAAAACAAAAATAACATATCAAAAGAAATAATTTTTGATATTCTACCTATATGTTGAAGAGTTATTAACAACTATCTTTTTCAAAAAATATTGTTTTCCTTTTTAAATGATGTCGTTATAAATATCAGTTAAAAGCATTATCTTCAAATTTCTAGCTAAAGGTTGAAGAATTTTAAAATAATTTTTTAACTTAAAATTTTTTTCGATATTTCTAAATAAAAAATTTTGATAAAATTAAAATTTCTTTTAAAATAATATAAAAAGATTATTATTAAATTTCAAATCAAAACAATTTTATCTAACACCGAAAATAATGCATGATTAAATGATACCAATTTATAATCATTGTGAAAATGCTAATTCTTCATCACACGTAACCGATTCTCGAATCCAACATAATTTTTCGTAGATCAAAATTTATCTTTTTGATAAACTTTAAGCCTGTTTTTATAATTTTATTAAAAAGATAAATATTTAGATAAACAACCACACCTTAAAAAAAATTGATGATAATTTTTTTATTTTTTTTTATTTTAAAATTCTTTACCTCTAACGGTCTTAAAACCATTAAGACAAAAATCGTGGAATTGACGTGGGCTGTTCTTCCATTCAGTCAAGAAAAAAAATTGCTGTTTTCTTTACTTGTAGCTACTAGCAATTAACAGAGAACTTCCTATTCAGCAATCACAGTTAATAGACTGATTTGGAGAAGGAAATTTAGCCTGATTTTCTTTTCCAAATGAATTTCAGATGGATTGTTCTATCATTTTTCAACACTTTCTGCAATCAATATTTAGCATGATAATGCTGCATCTAATATCTATTCACTATAGAAAAAATCATATTATGCATACTGAGGATCACTACTCGTACTCAAATTGTAGCCGGTAAAATAAATCACCATTTATCTCAAAGTAATTCTTACTCTGCCCTATTCTACTCACAAATTGCTTGAAACTTCACTGACACGCATTTTGCTAGTTAATTTTATGAGCTTATGTGTTTCCTCGTCCTGTGGTACATTGTCCTTCTGCATCCGCTCAGCAACTATAAGTGGCATTTTACCAGCTTTTGCATATGCTCGAAGAAGCGAATTATATACCTTAGTACTGACATGGCCAGCTTTCCGAAGAATAACTAAAAACTTCTCCACCCCTTCAGTATCACCTAGATCCCCGAGTTTCTTAAATACTTCTCCAACCAACCTGTCATTTGGATTCCATTTTTTCACACTACCAACAGCTTGCTTAAAATAATCTAATACTTTTTCCATTTGCTGCTTCTTTAAATAGCCCCAAGTAAGAAGTTCCCAAGTAGTGTAACAAGGGCAAATACCCTTCTGCACGATTCTCTGATAAAAGTTTTCAGCAATTTCCATCCGGTCTGCATTGATGTAAGCTGCAAGGAGTATGTTTGGAACTCTCGCATCACCACTTCCAGAAACAGACTCCCATTCATTGTAGAGTTTCTCAGCTTCTTCAAAATCCCCAAGTTTCACAAGTGACGATATCATACATGTATACTCGGCATCATTCATTTTGCAGAAGCATGATTTCAGCTTCTTCCAGATCCGCTGAACCCCATCTTTATCCCCCATGTTTGTATGCAAACTGAGAAGGGAGGAATAAGCAACTCGATTTTTTTGAGAAGCCTTCTTCTCCATTTCCTTCAAAGTAGATTTTGCATTCTCAAATTGTTTTCCTTTTATGTACAGATTGGTCAGCGAACTATATGTTACCCAGTCAGGCTCTATTTTCGCCTTCTTTAGCTCAAGAAAGATTTTTCCTGCAGTTTCAATGTTATTTTGGGAGGCACAAACAGATAACAATAAATTATAAGTAACGATATCAGGTGAAGCATTTTTCTTTAATTCCTTCACTATTTCAGGAACCTTTTCTAGTTGACCTTCTGAGATATATAGCGAGAGCATGTGGTTATAAGGAAGAGCGTACTTCACAAAACCACATTCTGACATTTTCTCCATCAAAGCCTCTGCTTTAGCAGACAACTTGTTCTGGACATATGTGTGGAGAAGAGCTGTGCATGTGGCTTGATTTCTCATCTTGTCAGGAAGGTCTTCGAAGAATTTTTCTGCACTAGTTAAGCCACGAACTTTTGCAATCAAGTCCAAGTGAATGGCATAGTCACCAGGTAAAAGCTTGATATCTTGCTGCAATCTCATCCATTCACATATCTACAATACAATAGCCATGGTTACATAACGCCAGTTATCGAATACAAATTCCAAGCAATTCTACATACCCAGTTTCAATAGGCATAATTATCCCATAAATGGGTCCTCATTTCACACTGGGAGCAAGGCTGAGGTATAACCTATACTTTTAACAAACAACCTGTTCTGATTAACCAGAATAAGAATGCATTTCAGAATCAAGCCTAGTTCTCAACTGAAATTAAAAATCTAGTGAAAAATTCCAGGTTTATAAGAGTCAATAAATGAACAAAGTAGATAAATAAAGGGGCAATAAAAATGATACCTCAAGGGCGTGCTTATAGCGCTTGAGCTTGCGAAGCTCTCGGACGACTCTATTGAGCTCGTATTTACGGGCCGTATGGCCTTCCTCTTTCCATTTCCGTATTGCAACCACAGCGCTGCGTTTCGGATACACGAGGCCTATAAGCCTATATCCCAGCGTGTCTCGGCCACCTCCACCGCTTTTCGCAGCGCCTTCGGTAGTGGTTACTGCTTTCTTCGCCGCCGAAGTTGCCACTGCTTCAGTGGAGAACAAGCGCGCGGCGAAGAGGGACGCGCGAACGTAGCGCATCAACATTGTCTGAGTTTTTTTGAACCGGTAAATTATCGATCAGAGTTAGGGGGAGAAGAATTAGGGCAGACAGATTAAAACGGCACCGCGTTTGGCGCACCCAATCCTGTAAGGTTTTAAACCCAGTTAGGTCAGGGGCTTAAGTGGCTTTTATGGGCTTTGAAAGGCCCACGCCGACTCGAACAGACCCAAACAACGAGAGCCAATAGTCCGTTAACGAAGGCGAGTACACGCAAAGGCAGCCTCAAATTCCTCCTCACGCCATGATTTGAACTGTTCTTCGCTAATAATCGCCCACAACTACTGCTGTCGAACTATTCTCTCACTTGTCTGATTTTTCAAGCCTTCAACGCACCCCTCCATAAAAAAAAAAAAAAAGAGATCAGAAATCCCCTTTTTTTTTTTCTCTTTTCTTCTCAGTTGCAATATCAGCGACCCAATGCCAAGCAGATCAACCGCCGGTATACGAACCAGCGTGAGAGTCGTCGTCGCTGGCGACCGCGGCACCGGTAAATCGAGCCTCATCGCCGCTGCGGCTTACGATTCTTTCCCTGAGTATGTTCCGGCGGTTCTTACCCCAACTTGCCTCCCCTCTGACTACTATCCCGATGGCATCCCCGTCACCATTGTTGACACCTCCTCTAGGTATTAGTTTTGAACTTTTCTCAATTTTCTACGCACGTGAATGTTATTAATGGGTTTTTTGATCCGGCCGTACAAAAAATTTGTAGTAGCTTTTATTAAATAGATGGTCAGTTTTGGGATTCTGATTCACCTTTTTTAAACGTGTTATCTTGTTGTTTGAGAAATAACCTCATTTAAAAAAAAAAGAATTAAAAAATATATATCTGAACAACAAAATTCATTGTTTTATTTTTAAAAATGAAATCATAATGTCGGAATTGTTATTTTATTTAAGTAACGAGTAAATAGTGAAAAAACAAGTAGCAAAAGCAACCTTAATAAGTGTTTTAGAAGTTTGATGAGTTGTGAACGTATGCTGATACTTTCGCATTGCTATTGGCCTTTAGCGTGGAGAGCAGAGTAAAGCTTATTGATGAGTTGAAGCGAGCTGATGCTGTGGTTTTGACATATGCTTGTGATCAACCTATGACACTCAGTCGTCTCACTACTTTTTGGCTTCCTGAGCTTCGTAAATTAGAGGTTTGCAGTCGGCATAATTCTTTGACATAAGATATATATATATATATATTTCATGTTTACTGATAAAATGGCATTGCTTTTATTATGTTTATATGTTATATCTGAATAGGTTAAGGCTCCAGTGATTGTTGTTGGGTGCAAACTAGATTTACGAGATGAGCGGCAGACCATGAACTTGGAACAAGTCATGGCACCAATCATGCAACAGTTCAGGGAGATTGAGACCTGCATAGAATGTTCATCTGCTACACTAATTCAGGTTTTTATTTGTTATTATTATTTTTTTAGGTTAACATCAAATGCTTATGAGTGTTATCATTTTGTAGTTGCCAACCCTTCTATCTTTATGAAGTTATGGCATTAGTGTTTAGCAATTAGCAGTTAACCTTTTAACTGGTGGCACTAAACTCTAGTGGGTATAGAGAGACAAGCTTCCAGTTTTTTCTGTTGGAAACTATTTTCTATTTAATTATTTTTTCACCAATTGATAAATGTTCTATTAATTTATGTTGTCCTTATGTTTGTTAAATCCATTTATCATTTGCGTGTTTTGGTAGCTACAGATATTTGGAGGCTGAAATGTAAGGGTTTTTTGTTTTACATTCTCCAGGTCCCTGACGTGTTCTATTATGCTCAAAAAGCAGTTTTGCACCCGACAGCTCCATTGTTTGATCAAGAGAAACAAAGTCTGAAACCACGATGTATCAGGGCATTGAAACGGATATTTATGCTTTGTGATCATGACATGGACGGAGTCCTTAGTGATGCAGAGTTGAATGAGTTTCAGGTTTCTTTTTCTCTTTGTTTGTCCTTTTCTTAACCATGGCTACTCCTAAAAAATTGGAAAAGTTTGACATGTTGAGCAATGATAAACAGGTTAAATGTTTTAATGCTCCATTACAACCTGCTGAGATAGTGGGTGTAAAGAGGGTGGTGCAAGAGAGGATAAGAGGAGGAGTCAGTGACCTTGGTCTTACGCTTGAAGGGTTTCTCTTTCTTCATGCTCTTTTTATAGAAAAAGGGCGTCTTGAGACAACTTGGGCTGTCTTGAGAAATTTTGGATATGATGATGATTTAAAGCTTAGGGATGATATTCTTCCAGTTCCAAACAAGCATGCCCCTGATCAGGTAGCTCATAATTTTGACCTTAGACATAACTATTAGTTATTCCAAAATGGCGTTCAAGACATAACTATCTTGGTCACTATGGATCACAATATGAAGGAAACATAGAGCTTTATGTTGCATATATCCCTAATTCTGAAGTTTTAACTGGTTTATGCCATCATGCTAATGAACCCTACCCCACCCTGCCTTCCCTTTTCTTTATGTCCTGTACTTCCTATCATTTTACCTTTCATGATAACTTCCTTTATGGGGATTGCAATATACTTACTTCTAGATATCTTATAGAGTGTGGAGCTTACAGATGAAGCTGTAGACTATTTGCGTGGGCTCTTCCGATTGTATGACAGTGATAATGTATGTGTTAATCTCCTAAATCCTTATCGCTTTTACAGAAATAAGAAGACAAAAATTGTTTATCACAAGTTCTTTATCATACTTAGAGTTTCTATAATGCTAATGCTAACTTATGGACAATAACTGAATTTCTGTTTCAATTTTGAGCTTACCAGGATGGATCCTTACAAACTTCTGAGCTTGATGATATCTTCGTAACTGCCCCAGAAAGGTGAATGTAGTTACGGGATTTATCTTCTTTATTTATAGACTTGTATAGAGTTAACAGTGTTTTCTCAGCATATTTCTATGGCTCCAATTATCAAACAGTCCCAACACTTGAAGACTTGTGTTGAATTGATTCCAAGTATCTTCTTGCAAATGGTGGAGATGGAACAGCTAATATTGAGGTTGCAAAAGAATTCAACCTAAACCAAATTGATTAAACTTGGTTTAAACTTGTTAATGTCTTATTTCTAGTATAAGCATGTGTGTTTGTGTGCATATGTCACGGTGCGCATGGACCGTGACACACACACACATACATATACATACATGATTGCATATATAAATAATCATACTAATTGCTTTTAATATTTTTCCTGCAAAAGCCTTTGGCTTCTAATGGTGTTAATAAGGATCCTTTTTTTGTCATATGGCAAGTTAACTTTTAGACTTAGCCTCTGCTGTTGTTTATCCATTTTCTCCCTGATTCAATTTGATTTCCAGGAATATATTTCTATTAACATATATGTTCTCTGTAATTCAGTCCATGGACTGCGGGTCCTTATGTAGATGCTGCAGAGAGAACATCTCGAGGAAATTTAACTCTTAATGGGTTTTTATCTGAGGTTTGTTGTGCTTATTGCTACTTCCTTGATTCTTACTTGTGTTATAACACATGATAATATGTTTAGTGGCTATATTGTCCATTTATCTATGTCATGAGTTTCATTTATATCCTAAAATTGCATTATTGGCATGACAGCACAGGTTCTTAAGGATCCTAACCATACCATGAGTATTGTTTAAGAATATCCCAAGTTTTATGTGCATCGGCTAATTTGCATTTGTAAACCATATTTCAGTAAGAATTGACCAGTGGAATGCTGTTGAGCAGAACTATCACTTATTTATAGTACATAATCTGACTAAATGGCTAATATTATTAGGTTTAGATTCTTGTATTCTTTCACTGAATTATCCCTGAAAATTCTTATTTCTATTGTCCATTAAACTTTGATGCCCATATTACTGCTTTGATCTATATGTGGAACAATACAGTTGTCTCCTCTGTGAATATTTTTGGTATATCTCTATCTCTCTTCTCTTTTTTCTTTTAGCTTGGGACTTAATTCAGAGTTCCAACACTGACCAGATTTATTCTTGTATTTCTTAGAAAATATAGGAGACAAGGTTTTCTTTGTCCTGTTGATATTAATTGGTATTTGAACATTTTTAATCTTGCTAATCTACTTCGTAACTGTAACTCATTGTATCTATGGTTTGCAGTGGGCCTTAATGACAAGTCTGGATCCATCATATAGTTTGGCTAATTTGATTTGCATTGGATATGGTGGAGATCCAACTTCAGCCCTTCGTGTTACTAGGAGAAGATCTGCAGATCGTAGGAAGCAACGGACAGAAAGAAATGTTTTTCACTGCTTTGTTTTTGGTCCTAAAAGATCTGGGAAGTCTGCTTTGTTGAATTCATTTTTAGGAAGGTATTGTTTGCGGACCTATGTAATCTGTTGATGTTGATCTTTCTAGTTTCATCTACAGCTTCTTTGATCCATCTAGTAAAATTATACTATTATTTTTGTCTTCAGAGTCTAGATACTATGACTTCATTTATTTGAACTGCAGGCCTTTCTCAAGCAACTATACTCCAACAAATGGTGTATGTTATGTGACGAATGTTGTTGAACAGATTGGGGTGAGTAATAGCTGTAGATATGCCATATGTCCTGGTGTTTTCATGGAATTTTCTTTGTATCCTCATTCTTTTCTACCACAAAATTTTTTCCTTGTGAGATCATTGACCTTGAATATAGTGAGTAAAATATTTGTTCAAAATGACAAGGTGACAGTAGTGTCCTTGTGAAAATAAACTAAGAGAGTGTTTACTATAAGGTGATTCGTTTAAAAATCTTGGTGATCTGCATTTAGTAATTAAATCACCTTGTTTGGTAATAATTTAGAAATCATATGTGGTAGTAATCTCAAATCACTATGGTGATAAGATCACTGCCTTGGATTCCCAACCTAAAGGATGGGAAAGTTTTATCATTATGGGAAAATAATTTTCAATAGTATTTTCTGACTAATTTACCCTAACAAAAAATGTATTTAACATTATCTCAAGAATTTGGTCATTAAAAATTATAAAAAGTGGATTTTTTTAATCACTTATATAAAAAAAAGATCTTATGTTATAAATTTTTATTGATTAAAAAAAGATAATAAATTTATTTAATATTTTTTTAAAAAATTATTTTTATATAAATTGATTAATACTTTATAGTTTTTTATAAATAGTGTTTTAACTATTTTATAAATTGTTGATTCAATAAGTATTAAATATTTTTTTCAAGGTTATTTTGGATATTTTGTATTATATAATTTATTGTTTCATAGAATTACCAAATACAATAAGTTAAAAGTATTAATGATTTATAATATTATATCAAACATGATAATTTAAGATCACTGGTGATCAAATCACCTTGGTAATCTTATCACTATGGCAATTAAATCACCATGGTGATTTTGAAAATAATATTAAACGCTACCTAAAAGTTTTATTTTTCTTTGCTAAAGGGTATAAAAAGCCCGTGAACTATAATTAAAAAAATCATCCAAACCCTTATTTTTTATTGTAATCAATCAACTTCTCCAATATTTATTTACATCCAATTAAGCCCTTATTTGGATTAAAAGTTAACACCGTTAATTTTTTTGTCAACTAAGATAAAATCCCATATGACATCAATAAAATAGATGAAAGATTGTCACATGATGCCAATTAATATATGTGAAAATTAAATAAAATAAACAATTTTTTTTCCTTTTTCTTCTTTATTCTTTCTTCTCTATAATTCTTTGTTCCTTTCTCTCTAAGATCCCTGTAAGGATTCAATTGACTGTTGTTTGGGTATTAATTGATTAAATTTTGTCATGTAACTAGTTTTCGTTCATTAAGGATTCAATTGAGTCGAAGTAGAAGATTAGGGGCTTGATTGATTGCAATAAATTATTATGGATTTAAATGATTATTGAATTATAATTCAAGGGCATTTTTGGCCATCTAGCCTTTTTCTTTTTGTTTTTATGATTCCTGTGTATTGGAAACATGGCTGTTCATTTCTGATGAGAAGTTTCAGATTTGATGTGGCAATCTTTGTGACCCTATTGACTTTTCAGGGTACTCAGAAGACCCTTATTTTGCAAGAGATACCAGAGGATGGAGTTAAGAAATTCCTTTCCAATAAGGAATGTTTGGCAGCCTGTGATGTAGCTGTGTTTTTGTATGACAGGTAAAGTTAAAGAATATTCTATTTGTCTGAAGTTGCAAGACGAGTATATCAATGTGAATATGCTATGGCTTACTTATAGACTAGTGTTTGTGAACTTCTTTCAAATAGCATTTTAATGGTTTTTAATGTCCTTTATTACTCATCATGCTTTCCCCCTTTTGCCTGCTTCTGTTTTGTGCTCTATCTACAAACCTGTGAATATCCAGAAATTAAAGAATAAGCAGCACCTCAAAGGGGTGTGGAAATATGTTGATTTTTCGTTAGATGGCCTTTTATCTCACATGATATTGTATTCCTATTGCCAGTTCAGATGAATATTCATGGAAAAGATCAAGAGAATTGCTTCTGGATGTTGCTAGGCTAGGAGAGGAAAGTGGTTATGGAGTACCTTGCCTCCTCATTGCAGCAAAGGATGACTTGGATCCATATCCAATGGCACTGCAAAACTCAGCAAGAGTATATATCTTATCATTGCCTGCTTTGTTTTATCCATATCATACACGACTATGATAATGGATGAGATATGGTGTTAATTTCAATTTTATTTTCAGGTTACTCAGCAGTTGGGGAATGAAGCTCCAATTGCTGTAGGTGTAAAATTAAGAGATTCTAAAAATGTGTTTCTAGAATCGTTAAGTGCAGCAGAACACCCTCATTTGACATTCCCGAAACTGAGCAAGGAAGAAAAGGAAGCAATATCGCCGGGTCGTTAATAGCTCACTATATTTGTTTCAGGTTAGTATTATCTCACTTCTCCATTCACCTCTTTCCTTCAATGAAATGAACATTTATAATAGTTGCTTTTACATTTGCTTGTAATGACTGGGTTCCTGCTCAAATTACAGTAGGGGCTGCTGTCTGTTGTTGGACTGGCGGGCTTATCGTGCCTATGCTGCAAGGAAGAATACTTGAAAGATGGTCTGTTTGTTCAGCAACAGCCATTGGTTTTTAGCTGCATTTACAACTCAAATAAATCGCTACTACATGCACGCTTTATTGGATTTTCAACCTGAAACTTGTATATATTTTTTGCCATTATTTCAGCAAGGCAGGAGGTAATCTTTTCTACTTTCGCTTATCTGGAACCACATAATTTACCTTTATTAGTTTAAGTTTCTTTTGATTTTTCCCTTGTCTACCAAAATTTTTGTAAACTAAATGCAGTTTTGTATCATTTTCCATGGTGACATATCATGCCGATTATCTGTCGCAAAAGTATAGAATCAGCGAACGTTGAAATAAAGTGCTATTGTTTATATTGGCTTGTGGTTGAGGCATAGCCTAGTGGCAGCAGCACCTTCCCAAACGTAAGAATACTAGTTCAAATCTAAACCCACCCCCCCCCCAAAAAAAAAAAAAAAATGCTGAAACTATTTAGTTGGCTTGCATTCTTGAATGAGGATGAGTAGCAGGCAGGTTTGTAGGTCCTCTTGTTTGGAAGGAGCAATCAAATCAACAATGTTTGCCTCTAGCCTTTAGATACTTGTTCCTTACATGCATGATCTGCTGCGTACCTAGTTATGGTTACACCAAAAATAGCACTTTGGAAGAATGAAGTGAAAAAGGTAGGATTCGAATATAAATGGTAGGATACTATTTTTTTCAGTCTATTCTCCTCAATCCTGCTAAATACATGGGGTGTTGGCAAAGTCCGCGGGTCAGAAAATTACTGCCCGTCCATTTTTCATTTCAGCCCAAGGGACTGAATATAAATTTAGTTACCAAGATTACTAAGTCAGTTTTGGAATACCAAATGTGGTGTAGGAATTAAGGCCTTTGTATTGGAGATTAGCATTCTGAAAAAATAGAAATAAAAAATTTGTTTGGTTGATTTATTTTTATATATTCTTAAAAAATGAAAATCCAAATATATACAGTAAAAGTATGAATCAAAACAAGTTTTAATTCATCAATCATGATTTATGAATTTAGTTTGGGTTGTTTGGTTATAGGGTTTTGTTTTTGTTACTAAATGGTCAAGTCTGAAATAAATGCTTATTTCTATCATACAAGTGTAAATTTTTTTTTTCTTTTTCTTTGAGCTCCAAACAAGGAGTCCTAAAAAGAAGTCTAACAAACCAATTTAAAAGTTGAAAAAGCAAATAAGAGAACCATGGGAGTTTGATTTCACTAGGTTCTTGGGTGTAGTACATATAAATCCCTTCCCGAAATTTATGGCAAATTTCATTTTGTTTACTCTAGTTTTCGTTTTTACCTTTGATTCTCCAATCGGTAAAAAAAAAACCATAAAGGTTAATGTTACAAATAGTTTTTAAAATATTCAATGTGATATTAAATTTAAATAATTTTTAAGATAATATATAAATTATAAATTTGTTAATTAATATAATATTTATTTTTAATGTAATTAATTTTAAATGATAAAATATTATGGATAAATAAATTTTTAAATATTGATATCACATTAGTTAATAAATTTATAATTTAAATATTATATTAAATATTTTTAAAAATTAAATATTATACTAACTTTTTTATTATAATTTAAAAATTATTAGGAACATTAATTCAAATAATAATAATTATCAGAGGGGATGCGGTCTCTCAAGTTTTAAAGTTCAAAACCCGAGGCATGCTTTTCCTCTACCATAATTTTTATATCTATGAATGCAAAGGTGAAAAAAGGTTAGAAACTTTCCGCCGCGTGCTTTGTGGATAGTGTTTCTTTTTCTTTCTCCATGATCATGGGCATAGTCGTCACTCATGGCTAAATCATCTTTTTGTCTTCTGCTTTGCTTCTAATTTGCCTCAAATATTCAATGAATCAAAATCTCCTATGGTCTATAGGCTCACGTGTTTAACACCATTGCAATTTGCAACTTTTCTTGTTTCTTTTTACATCCTTCTTTAATTTCTAGGTAAAAAAATACAGTTACAATAATGTTAAAAGTATGTGTTTATAAAACACCCATTAATCAAAATATATAATTTTGTATTATTTTTTTTAATTTAATAAAAATGATTTAGTTATTATATTAAATCATTTATTTTTGGAATGCATTGAATTTTTTAACATTACGCATTTAATATAAAAATATTATTACAAATATTACTACAAATATTTTAAAAAAAATTCGTTAACAACATTCTTTAACTAATCTTAACTAGTGTGAGCAAAAACTCGTTAATCAAATTTCCTAGTAATCATTTTCAAGGGTTAATCACATATTTTTGAAATTAAATATAATTTGTTTAGTAGTTGGGAAACATTTATGATTCAGTGCAGCAATTATTTCTGATTGACGTTAACAATCTATGATCAATCTATGAGTGGGCCCTGTCTGATAACCAAAGTGAAGACATATTACTAGAAGGCTGTAGCAGTAAACAGTATGCTGTGTTTTTTTTTTTTTTTAATTTAATTATACAAGATTAAAGTGAAAAAAAAAAAAAGAACAAAGGGTTAACATAAGAATATTTGCCTATCAGGAAAGAAGACAAGAAACATGATCAGTCCAAAAGAATGTATATCCAACAGAGAAAAGAAGATATACATGCAGAATGTAATGGTGATAGAATTATATGGCGTACGTCGGTACTTTTTTGGATACCCTTGTAGGTATATCCTCCGAAAATCCCATTTCGACACTTGTCAAACCAGTGAGAAAAGAGCCACCAGGTCAGCCAGCCATGCCACCCTTCACCATCGCCCGCAATTCTACTCTTACTTATCACTGCTACGATATGGTATTTATTTTTCTCACTCGATTGCGTAAATTAATTGTGACACATCTACAAAACACGAGCTGGCAAATTTGTTTAGATGGAGCTGATCTCACCATCGTGCCATGTTTTGCCTAGGGTTTTCGTTTCATTTAATTATTCTTTTGTTTTGCATTATCAACTCTTTCTCTTTCACGTAAAAAAAAAAATGTATATCCACTCAATTAATTAGTGGTATTTTCTGTTTCTTATTTTAACCAATAAAAGATTCGAAGAAACTTTTAAGCTTCACATAAATCAAAACAAACAACTACCACCATCACCAAAACCACCATAGCAATCACACAACGAAAAGATAAGCACCAAAAAACTTATGGGTGGCCTTTGGTTGTAAGCCACTGTTTATATATGTACATATGGGCCCTTTCAGGGCTTATGGTTCTCATTTTCTTTCAATTGCTCGTTTTAAAATGGAAACATTGTTTTAACCCCGCATGAGAACAATTAGTACTCTTGTGGCCACAAATGCAAGAACTTAAAATTAAGTAGTATATTATTTTTTATGCGAGGATTGACTTATTTTTTTTATGATTTTATCTTTTGAAAAAAAAATCTCAATAGAAGAAAGATAGTCTTTGTTCATAAAATCATAGCCCAGTGTTTAATTATTAGATGTGAAATTGTTTCTCCTAAAGAGTATTTAACAAGAACTTCGTACTTATAGTACAAAAACTTTCAATTAGACAATAATTAAAGGAAACCAGCTGCTCAAGGGCTGAAATTCAAAGACTTGAGGAGTCCTAATTTGAACGGATTGAAGGGAAAGAAACTGGATTAGGTTGGTGACATGGATGTCAACGACTATATATAAATGTTGCAATCAAATACATGTGGAGAACAATGAAGTTGAACACGTAGGAAAAGTGGGTGACATGAGTGGTAGACCACAAAAAATTGGTGGGGGATATATTATACAATTCTTCGCGTTGGCACGATGAGGCCGACCAATGGAAATATGTCCTCATTGACTTTTTTTTTTTTCTTTATAGAATTTAAGGTTTTAAATTGGTGTAGTGCGGTCCGCCTTAATATGTGACATTGTCGAGTGTTTATGTGGTGCGTTTTTCCGGTATACTTGCCTTGTCATTAGCACAGCGACAAAGATAACTCAATCTTAGCAATATTTGAGAGAGAGAGAGAGAGAGAGAGAGAGAGAGAGAGAGAGAGAAGCACAATGAACAAGTTACCAAAGAGAGAGCTCAACCGGATAAGAAAAGGTGATGAGAGTTTCTTATTCGTCATCAATTTTTTGGGGCTATGGCTTTTGTTTTTTGCCGATGGATGGTTGGTTCATGGGTGGACCTTGGTCGACGGAGTGGTTGGGTTAGACGTCTTGGTTGTGTTTTATTATAAAAAGGGTTAAAGCTAAATCCTTTCCTCGTCGATGATGATGAGAGATGATATATATCAATTCACCCAACAAAACCTAAGTTATTGTCCATATGAGTAATACTATTATTTTTGTTTGATTTTCGATTGTTTCATTTCATCACCAGCAAATGCTATTTAAACACAACAAATAATAATTTTATGAATATATATTTTTTATATTTATAATTAATCAAACAATCAAATATTTTCCTTTTTTTTTTTGTTCTCCTAATTTGTTTATTTTCATACGTGCAATTGCATTATCATCGTTATCATCATGATCGTATTAGCTATCGCCTTCTTGCCTAGTGTTGGAGCTTCATCATCTTCCAAAAGTTTTGGGAGGATGAGATGAGAGTGGGTGAAGGCCCCCTCGTCTCTCTTTCTCCCAAATATCAAGTGGAGACAAATCAAAATCAACAGATTAATTTCACAATAACCACGTATGAAAGACCAAGATCGTTAATCGGATGGATGGGGCAATTTCCTTTTTTCCTGTTTGAGGTCACATATCATATCCCTTGTAAGAGGACAAAAATAGCATTAAGTGGATCGTTTCTCCTTTTTGAGTGGAATAAAAAATAATAGAACAAATTAAAACAAAGAACAAGTTCACTCCATATATTCAAGACGATGTTGAAAATTATATATCTGTTAAATTAATTGTTTCAGTTTTTTTATTCACAAAATTTTTTTATTTTTTATTTTTTGTTTCATTAGGTACATAAAATTTTAGAGTAAAGATAGAGGTTTAAAACTGAACATGTGTATGATTATGATTTATATCAGATTATGATTTTTTTTTGTTAGAAAACGTTAATTAAAATGTTCTATATTTCCAAATGGGAGTAGGTGGAGTTTGAAGGAAAAATTAGAAAGAAAGAGTAATTATAGCACATTCAGATTCTTTAAAATATCTACTTCTGATGGGTTGGGTTGAATAAACCAACCACAGTGATCACTAGAAGAAGGAAGGGCCACCAAATTTTTTATGCTGACATCCTCCATAAATTTAGGAACAGTTTCTATTCAAGCAGCTAAAGGGTTTTGACTTCTTCTTTTCCTCTTTTACTTTGGTAATAACTCCTTGCCACACGCAATTGGATTAGTTATTGACATTTATTTTACTTAGTTTGTGGAATCTCAAAAGGATATGGCATTGAATTTAACAATGAAAATAGAAACAGATATTCAACTCTGCTCAGCCATCTCGAAACCCTTTGATGATTGAACCAATTGAAATATATATTATAGGTATTGGGTTTGTTTTTGTTCCTTTTTGGGTGTAGAGTAATCTCCGGAAGCTGCACCAGTCGTGCTGTGTTGAAAATCATAAAAGTGAATTATGATCGTCAAAGATTTGCAGTACAAAAATTTCCGAATCCCTGCCTAGCAAACTAAAGGAGACGTCTTTATATCAATTAAGCATCTTTTTTAGCGAACATAAATGATTTTTTTTTCATGTGACAGTAAAAAGAAAATTGGGAGACATGCTGATTGCCTAAAGATTTTGCTTACTTGTGGAGAGATATGGTGAGAGAATATGTGCGTAAAGGAAGGTCCCTAAGGTTCTCAAAGCACATGATGTTAAGGCACAATGATGCATATGCAATGTTTGAAGATTTCTGCATCCCCGTCTTAAGAATAAAAGAAAGAAAAAAAAAAAGGACCTCAATGTATGGATACCCAAACTCCACTATGGGATATTGTCCCTCTCTTTTACACTAAGTTTGGTAAAAATGAAAAAATAAAATGAAAAGAATGAATAAAATGTGAGGGAAGAAAAAAAAAAATGGACACAAGGAAGTTTACAGTGTGACAATTTTCTCAAAGTAGAAAGGGTAAGAACTGTGAGGTCATTTTTTAAGTGAAATTGTCTGTCGCATGACATGAAGAAGAAACCTCATAAATCATGATCTTCATCAGGCATTCAGGAATGGCTTGGAAAGAAGTTTTAACTGATTGGAATCTGAGTAAATTTGGGGAAGCAGCAGCTACCCGAGCACATGGATGATCATGTGAAATGAGGTCAGTTGCATGTTGCCTTCGTGGGTCCGAAACTTGACAGTTACATGGCATTCGTACTCCAATCGTACCCCCCCCCTCCCAACTTGCTCCTCTTCCACACTGTAAATTAACTACCATACCCCCCCTTGCCAGCCTTATTCATTCACCATTCAACTACAATTACCGGAATAATAGTCTTTTTTTTTTCAGCGATCAGCATTACACAGTAATCTAGCATTCGGCATCCCCGCTTTAACTCTTCCAAGTTCCAACCATCTATAACCAGCCATTTGACAATTGATGGAATAATATATATGAGTAGAAGGACTATGAACTCTTTGAAATATTATTAATGTTTGGTTATATTATATCGAAGAAGAAGTATGTATGAGACCATATTTATAATACAAACATAAAACCTTATTATCCGTGCGTGTGTACGTGAGTTTCATTGATTTCTATTAAAATCAAAAGGCAAATGCAGCTGTGTTCTACAGTGACAGAGCAAAGTAAGTTTTGAGTTTCCTGTGGGCACTTTTATTCCAATATATATCTCTAACTATCCAAAAAGGATGATGCTATATCTTGCCCTACGTGCTACTGAAACCATTCACGTTCGTTGCAATAAAGCTATGTTCAATGCCATCTCCATGTTTGTCACCGGGCCATACGTATTCGCATAAAAAAAGCATCGTCTTCTTTATTAATTTTAAGTTAATGTCTTCTAGATTTGACCTATCTTAGAGTTTAAAAGCTAAAACATCCCTTAAAACAAATGGGAAAACAATTTTATGGTAACTATTTCGCAAAGCAAGTACACATTTGTACCATATATTTGGACGTTGATAGAAATTTTTTTTTCCCATCTCGTATTTCCTTTTCTTCAATGATGGCCCACGAAAATGAGCCCTATGAAAGCGATGAGAACATAAATTAGATGAAACACGTCAACAGATACTGCTTGGGACCAGCCAATTCACTATGCTTGGTGGTTGGAGAATTAGGCCAATCCTCGATTGATGTCCCTATGTTTTAATTCAGAAAGATGTCGTTTGTTTGTGTAAATTTTGCTTAATTGAGAATGCAATGCCATAACTAAAGTATTGGATTGGAAATTGGAAAGAAAAACAAGACAGACAAAGGAAGGGAGAGATATTGATAGTACGGTAATCTCAAACTTTTAATTACTTAAAATTAGAAATAAAAATTAAAGGGAGAAAAATGGGAAATTAGGGAATCCAAAATAGTAATAGTAATTCTCTCTGGGGATGAGTGAAAATCTTCCAACTTATAGCTTATTAAAAAAAAAGAATGATGCAATTAAGAAACCTTTGCAAGAGCTATCTTCTTTGAATGCTTTGGCCTGGAGCTTTGAATTTATCGAATTCCACTAATTCTTCCATATCTCAGTGCTCATAACACCTCTCAACTTCCTTCTGGAATTAATTTCTCATATAAAACTTTTTCATTTTTCCTCTGTTACCTCCATTTACTTCATCCACTTCAACTCTTGTAATATTAGGGAGTATCCTTGAAAAAAGCTAAGCCTCCCCAGGAAATGCTTTCCATGAAGAACTATGACAAGGAGGATAGCTGTATTTAAGATATGCGCCGTTTGTGAGATATATGATTGAACCTTAAACACTAATGATTGTCAACGATGTAGAAGCACTGTAGACTTTTTCTTGTCACCAAACTTTCCCTTGGTTTTGATGGATTGCAAACCACAGCTTCTAATGAAAGCAAGGAAATGTCATCGCTGCTCTCGCTAACTTCACTTCCAGTTTCACTACCTAAGCTTTCGGTGCACATTTGAAGACTTTTTTCACTTAGCGTAGAAGCTGAACTCTTAACAAGAGGGTCCAAATAAACTTTGTCATGCTCGGTAGAATCTTTGGAATTGGCGAGCGCCTGGAGGAAACTCCAGCCACCCATGTCAATATTTTGATTGCCTATCAGTTTGCAATCATTCCCGTTGTTCTTATTGTTGCTGATGGTGGTATTTTTTTCTTGATTATGGGGCATAGGCTTGGGCTCGGTAGGGGAAGGGTTATTGAAACAGGGCGTAGAAACAGTGGAGCCAGGAAAATTCGTTTTTGGTGGAGCCAGTTTCAGCCACAAAAAACGTGGTTCGACGAGCCTTGGCTCGAGGCATGATTGGAACCCATGACATACACTTGAGGACATTTTCTTATCCACCATAAAATGTTGGGAAAAACAGAGGAAACAGGGGAGTAACAGGGTAGCTCAAATGAAAGGAAAAAAATAGTTTTCCTCACCTCTTTTTGGAGTTTTCTGAGATCAAACGGGAGGTGGGGATTGAAATGAAAGAGAAAGCTACCTTAAAAAAAAAAAAAAACCTTGTATTTGGTTTTTGGTTGTAAATGAAGATGGGTGGTTTTGGGGAGGGAGAGAAAGAGGTAAGAAACAAAGCAGTGAAGATGAAATGAAAATGAAAGGGTTAGGGGATGATTTATAGTAGGAGAACTCAGAGTCTCAGACACAGAGGAGAGGTGATGGCCTTTTACGCGCACTAAAACTTCTACCGACTTTTTACTCTACCACACATTCCACAGCAAAAAACCGAATACATAAGAGAAAAAGTAGATAAAATTGGAGTAAACTTTTATGGAAACATGGCAAAGACATCTTTGCTATTAGAAATGATCAAAAAGCTTAACCTCTTGCTTTAGGATTCAAAACACAACAAAGTAAATAGTTGCAAAACTACCCAAACCCAAATTCCTACTGATTTATATGCTAATGATTTTATCTTTAAAATTTTATTTCAACCGAAAAAAGTTATTATGAGATGTGGGTTTTCTTTTTCTATTTAAAGGAAACCAAACGTAGCAGACAGGGAGAAAAGGACTGGTTCTTCTTTTACAGTTGTCCCCATTGCCTGAGTTTTATTAGGCTTTGTCTATATATTTTTTGAGTTTATATTTAATGAAATATCAGTTTATAGATTTTATTCTGTAAGTAAATCGAACGATACTAACACATTAATAAATAAATTTTTTTAAAAAATTATTTTTTATATATTTATTTTAAATGATATTTATTTATTATTAAATAATATTATTTAATTAATTGATAATATATAAAATATACATACGAATAATGCATCAAATATAAATTCATAATTTTTCATTTATGTCATGCACTCTCAATTCTGGTGAAACAAACCAAACATCCTTTGCATTCAAGTGAAAGGACAGCAAACCTTCAATTCTCTGCTCTTCTATGACTAACCCTTGATTCACAAATGAAAGTGATATGTTAGTTTGCATGCACTTCATGATAATTGTGGGTATATGCACTCACACTCACACTCTCACTCTTTTTTTTTTTTTTTTGAACTCTTTTTTCGCCTATCAATCTTTTTAGATTGGAAACAAAATGATTTTAATTTGGAAGGTTTAAGTTAGATTAATTGAAGTTATTTGCATTTCATGCGGTGAAAAGGACACCAAGAAAAAACAAAATTAATAATGAGAATGCCCTCCTTTTCCCAGTTCCCACTCAACAAATTTGCAGATATTTGTTTATTTGAAGGATTAGAAAATGTTGAGTGATGTTTGCAAAATTCTATTTTAATTGGATTTGGATGCTAGAAAAAGACCAATGAAGATCTTCTTAAGTGTGATTAACAGAAATGCTGTGTAAAACAACTGTCCAAATGCGAAACATCACCTTTCAAACCACACTTCAAATTAATAATATATTAAAGTAACATCACCTTGTTTTTTCTTATCTGACCTTTATAATGAACAAATATTATATTTTATTTGTCAAGTAAATGCCAAAAACAGTAAGGACTGGTTTGTTTGCTTTAAGATATCAGTAAAATTTTGTCTTCCTACAAATTATTTCAAAATCCTTGACATAAGTAAAAAAAAAAAAAAAAAACAAGAAAGAACCCTTTCTCACTAACCACCATGTTGCTTTGGCTGTTGAGGAGTATTTTCTTTAAATATGCTTCCATTTATAAGCTTAAACCCACATTGTTATTAAGAATCATGGGAAATGTTTGACAAATAAGTGCATAAAGGGGAAAATAATGGTAGAAGGAGCTTGAAACTGGCTGTTTCTCAATAGAGTTATCTGACAAGAACTTGAAACAGGCAAGGAATGCTTGTTAATTTAGACATCAAGAAAAGATTCTTAGTCTCTTTTCATGCTTAATTAAAAATGGAAGGATGGAGATCCGGAAACAAATATTATAATCGCTTTTTTTTTTCCTCATTAAGATGGAAAGTTTTTAACCACAATTATTGGAGCACACCCTAACACCAAAATAGGATATTAATTATTGGCATCCACATGTTATTATAAAATTACAAAAATACTAACATCAAAACGATGATTGAGCGGGGATGAGAAAAATTTTGAAAAATTGAAAATTGATTTTAAATCGTAAATTTTGGTTTGATTTGAATTTTTTTTTTAATTTTGTTTGGATTAAGTTTATATATTAAATATATATATATTAAATTTGAATCAAATTTTGAATTAAAAAATAAAAACAAATTGAATTATATATTTTTATTAATTTATATATTTTAAATTTTTATAAAATAAAATTAATAATTTTAAATCAAAATTTATTTATATATATTTTATATTAAATTAATATATAAAAAATTTTAAATTTAAAAAATCGATAAATTATTACCGAATTAGTAAAATTCAATTTGATTTGAATCAAATCGTATCAATGATCGATTTAAATTTAAATTAAATTTTAAAAATTTATAATATTATGTAATATCTAAAAAATCAAATTAAATTTAATCCGAACTTTTATAATTGAGATTGACTCAATTACCAATTAAATGTTTAGAAGTACTTCAAAGTCCAAAAGCATGCGATTAGACGTTCAATTGGAATCTCAAAGTTCTAGTAACAACTCTAAGGCTATTGTTGTCTCCAAAGGCAGGGGGGTCGATAATTTCTTAGTAATTAGCAATGGAAAGCATGCAAGATTTGTGGAAGGATATTTATATGGGTATTGTAAACTATTACAGGTCACCTAAACTAAAACATATGCCTGGCTCTATGATCGATGCTGTAGAATATGAATTTAATGGAGAAATTAAGGCGTATGCCCATTGTAGCAGTTTAAAAATAGTCCATCCACCATTGAAAGACATGCAAGTACCTAATTGGAAGAAGAGAAGAGACGCTTTTCTAATAATGGTGGTTGCAACTCTCCTCTAATTTGTTGTGTTTGGCCCTCGTATTTATCCATGAATTGGTAAAACCCTCGATCTTTGTTGCACCAATAATCATCGATTGTGCAATATAGTTCATTCATGCTAGCTGTTCACTGATAAGAAAACAATAGATTTGCTATGCTCAAATATCAGTAGACATGATGAATTACAATTTGTATCTCGTTTCTTTTGTTCTAATTAACCACCCAATTCCGAAAAAAAAAGGTAGCTAATTCAAAATATCATCCTCATCTAACCAAGCAATTTGTGCTGATAGTATCTGCTACATCATGGATTGTGGTACCATTTATCCTTTTCTTCCCTGTAACCTATTGCCTTTTCAATTTATTGTTGTATATATGTAAGTATTAACTTTTGAAAAGAAAAAAACTTTTAATTCTAATTTTATCACTCATGTCGATTTTAAATTTTATTTAATCATTCTTAATGTGTAAAAATATTGTGAATTTAATTTAAACCACCTTATTTAAGTGTAATCCTTTTGCTTTTTTTTTTTTTTTTCCTCCAAATTAATCATTATAAGAATGAAATTGAACCAAAAGGGAAGTCAAAATTAGCTGCATGTCAGGGTACCAATTTGAAGCAATCAAAAGATGATACTAAATTAACCAGACAGGCAAGCAGGAAATGTACGAATGAGATCGTGACCATCAAAATTTTCCCGTTTTCTCCGCGTTCTCCTCAAGCATTTGTTCATTCATGTTGTGTTAAAGTTTGTTCGAGGGAGGCAAACATGGAAGGGCAGCTGATACCTGACCAAAGTTCCAAGACAAGCAATAAAAAACTTTATAAAAAGTGTATGCAATACATTGATTCCCCGATTGACCAACTCAATCCTTTTAAAAGCCTCATGTATGCATTTAGGAAAGCATTGATATGATGGTGATTAGAATTATCGTTTTGTGACAGTTATGACTTCCAAATGAGAGACATAATATCTTTATTTTGGAAAAAATCTGAACATTTGATTCGGTAATTAAAAGAACTAATTATCATTGTCTTTAGAATATATAATTATTCGGAAGCATATTTGGATCTCCAAAGATTTTGTCCAAGGTCTCAATCTGAATTCCTCTTTTTCTCTTTTATCAAGAGAAGTGGAAGGGAAGGACTGTAGAGTTGCTTAGGCATTCTTGGTGGTTCTAGGCTACAGCTCTAGGATAGTTTTAATTTGGTTTTAGGGATGGCTGACAAGAATACTTGCCAATTACACTTACTCTTTGCCCTAACCATCGAATTTGCTTTCAAAATCTCCCATTTTTTTTTTTTTAACTTCTGTTTCTTTTCTTTTTACATTAGCCAACCAACGAAAAAGAGAGAGTCTTAAATACTGAAGGAAAAGGTCCTCTTTGCATGGTCGTGCCCCCATTGGCCATTGGTCACAATTGAAAATACCACAAAGTTACGTCTGTTTCTTTCCCTCTTTGAAGTCCATGTACGTTTGTTTATTTGTCCCCTTCACACTTCAAACATGAATACCAAGAAAGATAATGGAATCAAATTCATTTGATGGCTTACGCAACTATTTCAGCACCCTTTTTTCTTCCATATTTGAAGTTTTTAAATTCATACATATTTTCAAATTTTATTTGTTTAATTTTCTTTCCGAAAGTGATTTTAATCCTTAAATGTATACTCTTTTACATTTGTTTAGTGCATTCAAGATTTTACTTTTAAAATTATTTTTTATAAAGAGCAAACACTGGTTGACATAAAAAAAATTTTTTTTTCTTACTAACTGAATTAATCTTTTAAATAATTTTTTAAAGTTTGTAAACCGATTAAATTAAAGTTAAAACCAGGTAAACAAGCACTCAGATTAATTATATTTTGTAAAGATTAAACCTTCAGATTTTACTTTTAAAATTATTTTTTATAAAGATCAAACACTGATTGACATAAAAAAAAAACTGTTTTCTTAACAACTGAACTAATCTTTTAAATAATTTTTTAAAGTAAGCCAGCCAATTAAATTAAAGTTAAAACCAGGTAAACATGCCCTTAGATTAATTAATGGCTAAAGCATTGTCTCGTCAACTTACCAAAAATTAAAGACAACTTTATGGATGGCACGTAGAAATCATAGTTGACCCAATGAGCTGGAATCTCAACCGGCACTCACTATTATTAATTATAATAACACTAATATATTACATTATTTGTCTTAATCATTTTTTTTATTTTATATATAATTTTTACTCTAATAATAATTAATATCTCAACGGGTTGATGTTGAGAGTTGCCAGTTGCCGGTTGCCAGTTGCCACTTATGGTAATACTAATTTCAGATTTCACCGATGGATGTCAATATTTTAATATTAACCCACAAAGTCAGAGGAAAGACTTTCACAGGTCAAAAAAGAAAAAAGAAAAAAAAAAAAAGAGACAAAAGGAATAATTTTAATCAAATTCTGGTTGAAAGATAGAAAATTTACCTGGAAGATGCACCATTCTTTTACTTAAAACCTCTCATCCAATAAAAAATGTAGCAGCAACAGCAGCATAAGATGCTTTACTTGCAACACTGCTTACAAGTAATGATAACAACTGATTAAATCGAAATAAATTTTTATTTATTTTAAATTTGATCCGATTTTATATATATATATAATTTAAATTTGATTTGATAATTTAATTTTTTTATATCAAAATTTAATTTAATATTATATAAAATCGTATTCGATTCAATTTTATCTAAAATTAATAAAATATTATTTTTTAATATAAATATAAAATTAAATATATAAATATATATAAATAAATATAAAATTAAATAAATAATTAAAAAATAATTTTTTATATATATCTGATCAAATAAAATTGGATACACCTAAAACTTAAAACTTAATTTCGATCCGATCTCAAATTTTTTCTTATATTATTTAATCTGACCAATACTCGATTTAAAAAAAAAAAAAATTTGACTCTAAAATATCAAATAAAAATCTTTCAAATTCGAATTAAATTGCCTTCTCTATTTACAAGCTACGTCTGCAGCCGCATACAATTAACACCTGCTGGCTGGCCAGTTCATGATGTTGGAAATTTATTGAAAATTTCTTGTTCATTAGTACACTTGACCCCAAGAACTAAGGGGACCTCGCCCCTTTACAAAAGCAAAGAAGAATGCCCGGAACAAATCTACCCATGAAATTGGATGTCATAACACATGGAGGTTCTGAATTTCGACTTGTAGCGCTTGAAGCGTTTCCCTCACATTTGATAGTTCGTCTTTTATCTCTAGAAGTTTGTCCAATCTATTTCGTGCCGCATCTCGATAAGGCTCCCCAATTATTGTCACAAACTTTTCCAAATTCTCAGTAGTTTCTTGAAGATCCTTTTGCATTGCATCTTCAAGCTCTCGTCCTAATGCATCAGCTGTCTTTTTCACCTTTTCTATCATTTCTTGTCTACGGGCTGGGAAAGTTGAAATGGCTATAAACCTATCATGAAAGTTTTTAATCAATTAACTGATTGAACGCATTATTTATTAATGTCAAAAGAATGTAAACTCCTGCAACCAAGTTATTATATTTGACATAGGAAAGAACCGGAAAGAAAGTAACAGCCAATACTTTCAAGAACGAAATCTAGTGACCCAGTTAATAGGTCACGTAGGAAATAAAGGCAAACAGGTCTAATACAGTAGAGACCTCTCAAGTCACACAGATTACCAATTTTTTAAGGAAAACTTAGACATGCAGCCTGAAGAATACTATTAAATCAAGAAGAAATAAGTACAAGTTCAAGAAGATACATACCCCCCAGCAGAACATAGGCCTAGTGCAAGAAGATCTTCTAAAGTGGTAGGTAATATAGACGTTAGAAGTGAAGCAGACAAACCAGCCGCTCCAAGTCCGCCAAAAGTCCCCATGAACTAAGGTTAAAGAATAACATTTCAATACAGGTCAATTGAATCATATCAAAAAGAATATTTAAAAATAAAATTTAAAATAAGGAAATTAAACAACTATAGCAACAATTAAAGAGCAGACATTTTAAAGAGTTACAAACAACTTTCAATTATGAACAACTGTCACTATAATCTTACTGGTAACCCAAAAATTACATAAATAATGACCAGTTCATTTTTGTCATAAAATGCAAAAATGAACTTTTCAGGATAAAACAGGACCACACAGTAGCCCAAACAAGAAAACTAGGCCGCCTGGAGTTTTTCTAGGGACAGTAAACAATCATTCTTAGTAAAAGTTGCTTCAAACTTATTTTTTTTTCTTTCCTAAACATCCTAGTATGATAAATAATGATACACTGACAATGATGACTATCATCAAAACCAAGCAAAAGGCAGAAAGAGGAGAAATACAGTTCTTTATAATATGCCTGCATGCCACCCTTCCAATATTAATATTGTTAAGAGTTTTTTTGTCAAATAAATCGCAGACATCATAGAGATTACTGCCCTGCTACCAATATCTTGCTTTATTAGTTTGGACAAGTTTTATTTATTTTGAGGAATTCTTCTCACCGCTTCGCGAACTTTGCGTTCATATAGTTTGGAAGCAGCACTGGCACTGAATTTCTCTATCACTCTCAAGCTGAGTTGATCCAACTTTCTCAACAGTTCATAGGTCTCTAGAGGATACTGTTTGTCTGAGTAAGCAAGGGATGGCCATCTTTTCTCAAAAGATTCCTTATAAAGCCTTTCTTCACGAGCATTATTTGATTGTAACCATGTCACATAATCTCCAAGCAAGTTCTGTATACAATGACATACCATAAATCGGGAGTCATAAGAAAGTTACTTGGCAGCTGCCAAATTATGGCTCCTATAACTTGACACTATAAATAGACATCTGATTTCCATACAACCTAGATAATGAAGAGGTCTGAGCCATTAACTCACTTGTGCATCAATGAGTGCAGGACCAAGTATGTCATTTTGAACCCTTGAAGTGGCTGGCATTGTGGCCGACGATCCCCCCTTGAGAATAGATGAGGCAACAATATCCAGATTTGATAACTGTAGGGTAGATTCTATGAGCTCCAGAATACGTAATTTTGTAGCATCAATCTGCCATACCACACCCAAGAATAAACCATATAGATAAAGACAAGATTATGTAAGAAACAAAGTCACCTACTTGCCTCTGACTCAAAAAGTTAGTAATTCTAAAATTATACCATTGACAAAGTTCGTCTTCTCCAAGAGTTGCTTTCATTTCCCATCTTTGTTACATACTCTTTCACGCTATCAACAATTTCATTTGCAGAAGTAAAGTTCTGCTCTGCAGACTGGCAGTCTTTTCTATTAAGAGTTTCACAGGAAGAAAGTATCCACTCTGCAATTGCAATTGGTGTTCCAAGTTTGAGCTTCATTCTCTCCATTCCTGTACTAGTTGATCCATCTAAAAAACTATACAAGAAGTTTTCAAGCTTGTAAAAGCTACTGGTTTTCCAATTTGAACCAAATCCTGATAGTTCTCTATATTCTTTTCCCACACCAGAAGTAGCTGAAAGCTTTTCTTCAAGAACAGATCGTGCAGACACCGGATATAATGTCACATCTTCCGTGTTTAGCAACTTTTGAGTATTCTCTTTGATGAATAATATTGCCTCCTCTAGCTGCAATAAACAAATATAACTAATAAAATACTCAAAAAGTGTCTTAGTAGGTCAACATATATGAACTGACTTGATAGCGGCATCAATAATCAGTGGGAAGTGAAAATTAAACCTCTTGGGCATTCTGATAAAGATCAGCTTTTTTCAACACAAACACAACTTTCTTCTTCCACTGCTGAGCATAACGAAGAAAAGCAACCTGATAAAGAACAGCATGTGCAAAAGGAATTCAACCTACATTGGATCAACTCACAAAATCATGAATTGAACCATTTTAGTTGGCTAATGTTTATTAACTTTCTGAAATTAAAAAAGATTAATGTGAACAAGAAAAAAAAAAGATTGTTATTCATAAAGCCGAATCAAAAGCATCTATGGGCAACATGACATTTCCCAAACAATCTTAGTAATTCATAGGCTATTCTTTGATATCTCAACTAGTGTTATGCCTTTGCTTGATGAACCTTTGGATTCATTTCCTAATAATTTCAAAGAAAAAGAGAGTTAAAGTGTCCAAAAAATATTCCCTAGAGGTCAAATGAAAATACCCTTGATAGAACTTCAAAATGATAGAACACCTTTTTGTATGGCATTATCATATCATGGAAAAACTTATCTAGTTCCATATGGTATTAAATACCGTGTTCCTACATGACAAGCAGCATTGAGTAGAGAACTCAATGCCAACATAGTTTTGATTTATTGTCTCACACAAGCAATGGAGACCAATAAAAAGACATACTATGACAAATTACATGCACGACTAATCATACCTCACTCTCGGTTAATGGGCGATCAGCAGAAATAACAAAAAACAGCAAATTAGCACGAGGCACAAATTCCTCTGTCAGGCGTTGTTGCCTTTGAAGAATAACGTTTGTCCCTGGTGCATCAACAATATTCATCTGTTCTCAAAAGGAATTATTAAAAATTAGTTCATGTGATAAAATATAACGGCATACAGATCTATTTCCAGGAAAGCAAATAAAATAAAGAAAACAGGCAACAGAAAGAAGCTAATCAGCTATCAGGCAACATTAAATATAATGCCTTTTTCTCATTGATGCTCATGTAATATGCTCAACCTATTTTCAGTACACATCTCAAGTTTTCATTTGTAAGTTGGATTGCAAGCTCACTTTTAAGAACCTAGCCTTAGAAAAATTGTGCCTGATTTTCTTTTATTAAGTAAAAATGCGAGTGATTCATTCCCCATATAATAACTAAATATAGAATCTTCACGAAGTTATTCACAATTAAAATTGCATGTCACATTCAAGAATCATGCAGAATTCATAAAAACAGATTCTGGAACTTTAGAAGGTTAACAATTATAACATATAGAGAAGAGTTTATTTCAGCAGCAACATAAAGGAACATGAAGAACACACACAGAGGAAAGGATCAAAATTTTGAAGAATCAACTAACAACTATCTGCATGAAATGTATGCTTCTAAACTAACAAACATTTAGTATGCTTGTATGCATATGAATGCAGATGTACAGGAATTATTGTTAATAGGTACAGAGAAACCAACCACTGACATAGCCAGAGGATCTCTGAACTTAAATTCAGGAGTACAAAAACAGAAAAAGCCAAAAGGACTCACTTCCTTGAGAATCGCAGCAGGAAGATAACGTATTAATTGACCATCTGGGTGCCTTTCACAATGCTGCAGGTCCTTGCCATCCAATTCAGAATAGCGCAAGAAAGTGATTTCATTAGTCGTAGGAACAACCCCCTCTTTGAGGTATCTTTCCCCAAGAAGAGCATTAATGACAGTGGATTTACCAGAATTAAACTCACCCTGAGAATCCAAAAAAAGATGAATAAGTCATGGCAAAGCCAAAACCTTTAACAGGATCAAGCAAAACTCTATGGCATAAATGAATGAACAATTTCCATACAATGTTTAATTCCTCTTGTCGTAACGTCTAGATCCGGGGATCTATCGCTAAACATTGACTTTCAGGGAGTCGCCACCAATCTTTTTTATCTAGGTGCGATTGGCCACCTAAAGAATCTGTCCTTCCAGGGAACACCTAAGTTTAAGGGTCCCTAGAAGAATAGGCTCAGGTCTGCTGACCAGAACAGGGTTCGGGAGTTCGGTTACGTGTGAGGAAGGTTATAGCACCCTCACAACGCCCATCAAAAGATGGTACCAGCTTGAATTTGTGTTATCCAAAAGCTTTAAAATTTTACCAAGTAATTAGTTATTGAAAATTATTCTCAATTGACTCTAATACTTTTAGCAAAAAATTGAGAAAATTCCCTCACCTCAGGAGTATGCAAGAAAACTACTGTTTCACTTACAGAGGCTCCGTCGTCGGATTATTTAAAGAAAAAAAACAAAATCAAAATTAAGATAGAAAGGAAGGAAAGAATGATTTTTTTTTTTTGTAGGGAAAATTGATACTTTCAACTTTTCCCCAAAAATATTTTTTGGAAATTTTGATTTCAAGGAAAATTGATACTTTCAACTTTTCCCCAAAAATATTTTTTTTGAAATTTTGATTTTCAAGGAAAATTGATACTTTCAACTTTTCCCTAAAAATATTTTTTTTTTGGAAATTTATTTTTCTTTTAAGGAAAATTGATACTTTCAACTTTTCCCTAAAAATATTTTTTGAAAATTTATTTCTAAGGAAAATTGATACTTTCAACTTTTCCCTAAAAATATTTTTTTTTGGAATTTTTTATTTTTATTTAAAGAAAATAAAATAATAAAAAAATAGATAAAAAGAATATTACATAAACCTAATCTAATAAATAAAAAATAAACAAATAAAATAAACAAATAAACAAAGAAATAAAAAAAAAAAAAAACTGGAGCGGCTCGGATCGCGGCTCGGCTCGGCTCGGCTCAAGGAAGAGAAAACGGCTCGGGGGGAGCGGCTTGGCGGCTCGGCTCGGCTCGGAGGGGCTGGCACGCGCGGGTCAGAAAGCGGGTCGACGCCCGGGTCGGGTCGGGTTCGGCAAAACGCGCGGATCCTCTGGGTTACTTAAGGCCAAAACGACGTCGTTTTGGGAGGGTATAAAAGGCACCTTCCTCCGTTTTTCGGCAGAACGCTCCTCCCCTCTCTCTCTCTTCTTCCTTTTTCTCTCCCTTCTCTCTAGAAACGAAGAACACCGGTGCCGGATTCTGGAAATTTTCGCCGGAATCTGGAAATTTCACCGGAAGTTGGCCGGAAAGTCGCCGGTTTCTGGGATTCTTCGCGGAAACTGGGCAGGTCGCCGGAAACTTCAATGTTGGCCGAAATTTTCGCCGGAAAATTCAAACTTCGCCGGAATTTTCGCCGGAATCTGGAAATTTCCCAAAAATTTCCAAAAAAAATTTTCGCCAAAAATTTCTAAAAAATTTCTCACTCCCAGAACACTCCTAAACCTTTCTAGCTTCCTATATGCCTTTTTCTTTCAAATCAGTAGCTTTGCTCACTGTTTTCTCTGTTTTCATTCTGTTCCAGGGGGTGCCTTTTATAGGGATTGATCAGGAGTTCCTGATCAATCCCAATTCCTCCTTGGACGGGAATTCAATCTTTGAATCCCACTGGACTCTTCTGATTGAATTCTCATTTCCAATGGGATTCTTCAGCCTTCAATCTCAGCCCTCCAAAATCAAAATTAAATAAAATAAAAAATTAGATAATTAGAGAAGATAAATCAGCAGATATTATAGGATAAATAATAATAAAAAAGTATATCAGATATATAATTAGATAAGTAAAAATACAAAAATGAATAAAATAAAAAAGATAAAAATATATATATATATATACATAAATAATAAAATACACATAAATATTAACAAAAAATAAATAAATAAATATATACATATATTAATACATAATAATAATAATAAATAATACAATACATAAAATACAAAAGAAAAGAAAAAGAAAAAAAAAATACAGGATAAAATTGAATTGGGCCTTACCCATTTGGGCCAGGCCCAATGATCTGGGCCGGACCCAATTGGGTGTCTACAGCTGCCCCTCTTTGCACATTTTCTGTGAAACAGAAATTGCGCAAAGACGTAGACACCCAATCAAGACTCAACTCAACATTTTTTTGTTTTTTTTTTTTTTGTTTTTTTTTTTTTTTTTGTTTTTTTGTTTTTTTTTGTTTTTTTTGTTTTTTTTTTTTTTTTTTCCGAAGCTCCTCTAAACAGGACCACGACTTTTGAAAGTAAATTGCTCCTCTAAACAGAGGCACGACTTTGAAAGTAAATTGCTCCTCTAAACAGAGGCAACGACTTTGAAAAGTAAATTGCTCCTCTAAACAGAGGCAACGACTTTGAAAAGTAAATTGCTCCTCTAAACAGAGGCAACGACTTTGAAAAGTAAATTGCTCCTCTAAACAGAGGCACCACGACTTTGGAAAAGTAAATTGCTCCTCTAAACAGAGGCGACTGAATGCCAACGGAACTTTGAAAAGTAAATTGCTCCTCTAAACAGAGGTACCACGACTTTGGAAAAGTAAATTGCTCCTCTAAACCGAGGCAACGAACTTTGAAAAGGTAAATTGCTCCTCTAAACAGAGGTACCACGACTTTGGAAAAGTAAATTGCTCCTCTAAACAGAGGCACCACGACTTTGAAAAGTAAATTGCTCCTCTAAACAGAGGCAACGAACTTTGAAAAAGTAAATTGCTCCTCTAAACAGAGGTACCACGACTTTGGAAAAGTAAATTGCTCCTCTAAACAGAGGCACCACGACTTTGAAAAGTAAATTGCTCCTCTAAACAGAGGCAACGAACTTTGAAAAAGTAAATTGCTCCTCTAAACAGAGGCAACGAACTTTGAAAAGTAAATACTCCTAGACAATCATGTCCGAAAGAGTTGAAAGTTGTGTTTGAAGAGATTTCAGGAGATTATGCCCAAAGGTCTTATAAATCAACCCTGATACCAAGAGACATCCTATCTCAAGGATTAGGAACTTACCTGACAAGTTTCTTCTCAAACTTGCAAAGTCTTTTCATATCTGTCTTTTTCATGTGAGATGTTGGAACACCCCTGCTTCTTGAATTTGTACACTATACTTTCCTGAAAGTAGTGTATGTTATGCAAATGCATATGAATTTCAATGCATGCTATGCACATGTTGGCCAATTAATTCCTGTTCAATGTATGGTACTCAAGTTTCTCAAGCTTTTTTTTTTTTTTTTTTTTTTTGGCATCAAGCCCTTTGATTCCTCAAAGATCCAATGACATTGTTCTTCTAAGATCGAACCAGTGTAGCTCTCAATTGTCCTTTCCACTCACATTCTTTCCTTGTTCTGTTTTTCAATACTTTGGAATAAACTTCATCAATCGATCATCCCTTGACCATCATTCAATGAATTTCTCAGCGCTAGCAAATTTCAAAACAAATTTCATCCACCATCACTGGGTCCTTGTCTCAGCATCAACCATTCCAAAACAGACTTTGTCTACTGATTGTCTTCATCATTCAATCATATCTTGCAAGTCATATCGATCAATTCATCACTTTTCAAGATTTGCCCCATCATCTCTTTTAGGTTTCTACCATTTCTTCATCATCTTAGATTTCTTTTCAAATGAATGTAAGATTCTTTTAAGCACATATTCATTCATTCATTATCATTTCAAATTTTGACAAATACAATGCAATCAAGCATTTTCTCAATTCATTCTAAGGGTGTAACAATAAGAGGACAGAAAGTGAATTATGGTAAAGATAATCAATGGAGATCTATTTTGGTAGAAAATAAATGGGAAAGGAAATAAATTGGATGTCATTGAGGTAAATGGTATGTCCAAATGATGAATATTCAGACAATTTTCAACATTAATCTAGGATTCTTTTTCAAAAACTCATTCATTTACTGTTGAAGTCATCTTGAGCTTGACGAACTCTGCCCCAGTCTTTGAGGGATCTTCAGATGTCTTTGATCTTTCTATTCATGTGAGCCATTTGACCTGGATCTTTTTTTTTTTTTTGGTACCAAAATCACCCTTTCAGGTTTTCAATTTGGATCTCTTTTTTCATTTTTTTCATTTTTTCATTTTTCTTTTCTTTTTCTTTTTTTTTCATCATCTTTTTTTCTCATTCTTCACCTATTATTGACATCCTTCATACATCAAACTTTTAAGGTAATGTAGCATGATTCCATCGCTTCATCATGAGCATGCCTTCGCTCAACATATGATCATTCAAGTTGAGTATTCACACTTGATCCAAATGGACTTTTCAAGGTTGTAATGTAGGTCAAGGTGAAGGGTCATAAAAAAAATGGATATAATAGGCTCAAAACATGTATTAAAAAGGTTCAAGACCGAAGGATCATTTGATGCAGCTTGGCATTTTGCCCCACATCGTTTCGCTATTTTTTCTTTCCTCACACAAAGGATTCTCATTACTTTGCCCCAAGTCATGTGTGGCATTTATTTTTTCTTTTGCTTTTCTTTCTCTTTTCATCTTTGAGACCTTTTATGGTTTTTTTTTTTTTTTTTTTTTTTCAAAAATTACCCTCCAGTGTAGAGGGTGATCCTTGGTTGGGGTTCTTCAAAAAAATGATAAGCTCAAAGGGGTAACAATAAATGGTTTTTCAAATGGTAAAAGAAAGATGGCCATTTTTCATCTCAATTGTGAATACCTTTCTTGAACATCATCTATTGAACAAAGCTCATGAACTTGTATAAAAGATTACACACCTTCAAGACATATCTATTTCACCTTCAGTAATAGCTTACTTTTTGCTCAAATCATCTCTTCACATTGACGTGGATGAGTTCTCAAAATTAAATCTCAGAATTATTGTTATTATTGTCTAAATATTCATCATCTGAAATTTAAGAATGGGGATGTGAAGTTATGGAAGGTAACAAAGCATGGAGTAATGGTCAAGTGAAAGAGAAAAATGTAATGAAATGCATTGACTTGCCTTTATTAAAATGATAACAAGTGAAGTCATATTGCAAAAAAATCTAACATTGTTTGAAAAAAAAAAAATCCCAAAATGACAAAAGAAACCTTCAACCAGCCTTATCTCCATTGATATCTTGCCCCTCAATTCATTGTGAATCTCCAGATCCTTTCTGTTCTTGACTTTCGCTCAGTACACTAACATTAGGTTCTGTTGCTTTTCCTTGATCAAAACTTACCATTTCATCGTTGATCAATCGTTGCACCTTATACTTTAAAGTAGTGCAATTTTCAGTAGAATGGCCAGTAATTCCATAATGATAGTCACAACGGGCTGTAGGATCATACCACTTTGGATAAGGTGGTTTAAGTGGTTCCACATGGCTGGGGGCAATCAAGTGGCTATTATAAAGTTCTCGATATAACTCTGTATAAGTCATAGGAATTGGATCAAATACAAGTTTTTCTCGAGTAGTCCGTTGTTCTCGTGAGTCACTTGTTGGGTTAGTAGGACGAATTTAGGTTCTTGCAGGAGCTTGAATGTTGAGGCGGTAAGTGGATGAATAAGATGGTTGTGAAGCTAGCTGGTATGGGTAGGATGATGTATTATTCACAGCAGGATAGTATGGAGAGTAATCTTGGGATGGATAGGGTTGATAACCCCTGAATTGTTGTCTATCAAAGCTCACAGCTTGAGATTCAGCTTCTTTCTTTTCTGATGTCTTCTTGGTTTCTCCTCCTCTCAACTTGCCATTTTTTATGGCACTTTCAATAATTTCTCCAGAGATTACCATGTCAGCAAAATTCTTTGTTGCATTCCCTATCATCTTTTCATAATAGAGAGGTTTTAAAGTGCTAACAAACAGCACTGTGGTCTCTTTCTCTGTCAGTGGAGGTTGTACCTGTGAAGCTATATCTCTCCATCTCTGGGCATATTTTTTAAAAGACTCGTTTGACTTTTTCTCCAGATTCTGCAAAGACAAACGATCTGGAGCCAAATCGATAATGTGTCGATATTGACTGATGAAGTCATGTGCCATATCACTCCAAGAGCGAATACGAGTCCTATCCAACTGAACATACCATCTGGCGGCAGAGCCAGTAAGACTGTCCTGGAAAATATGCATCAAGAGTTTTTCATCATGTGCATGAGCTGCCATCTTTCTGCAATACATAGTGATGTGGGTTTTGGGGTACTTTGTACCGTCATATTTTTCAAATTTCGGTACTTTAAACTTATAGGAAATAACCACATCAGGAACTAGGCAGAGCCCAACAGCATCAATTGACCCATAAAAGTTAAATCCTTCTACAGCCCGTAGCCTCTGCTCTAACATGCTAATCTTGAAACTTTCCTCAGCCTCTACTCTCATCTTTTCCTTCTCCTTCTCTTCTACATCATCTAGATCAGGAATTGGTTCTGCTGCCTTTTCGGTGAAGACATGATTTATATAGCTATTATACTGCCCTGGGTTAAAAGCTGATGGCATTCCAGGGTATGTTGGATATGCAAAATGTTGTGGTAGGACCTCTTGGGCAGACTGGGCTTGAGGTGGGCCAAAACCTGAAGGGTACAATGGGTCAGCCACTTCTTGCTGGCTTGTACTTCCTTCAACTCCTTTTCCTTTATTCATATTATTGAGAGCCTCCAGAATTTTGCTAAGTTCATTTTCAATCTTCTCCTGAGCTTTTTCTAGCTTTTCAAATCTATGAGAACTTTCTTCTTCCATTTGCCTTGCTCTGGATCTTGTGTTGTATGGATGAGCAGGGTTTTCGCTAGATGGAGCTATCCTCGGACCTTGAGTACCATACTTATGATTAGAAATGTTATGCTGTACCTTATGTATGATGCTTTGATACACAAATGAAATGTACATTTTTTGAATAAAATCTAGTATGAAATGAATGCAAATAATTATGTTGAAACATGATCATGAAAAGAATACAGATGCATACAATCAGACAAACAACATAGTTAGTTTCGTGGATGAAACGTAAGTGATGTTGATGCATAATGTTACATATGATAAAAATAATACACAAAGTTAAACAATCAAAATGATTAGACAAACACTCTTTTGTGTCCTAATTTCAGGGTATATCTATCATTGGATAGAAAGGGCTTATCTTAGGTGTAGGCACTCTTAAGGTTCCACTACATGCGGTTTTAAGGTCAAAGTCTAAAGTCTCAAATTGTTCCTTACATCTTTGTCCATCACAGACTAGTAAGGCACCCTAATCCTCACCCATTACAGGCTACAAGCGGAAAAGGTTCAATTTGAGTGGGAGTATTTCGCTGGCCACTGCGGAGGCATTAGACCTCACAAAAGCAATAGGTACTTTACTCCCTCCTAGAGGGACGGAGCTCGGGTGTAGAGCTCATGTTATGCACATGCACATGAATGACATAATTAACCAAGCAAATAAACATGAATAATAATAACATATATATACAACAAGGTTCAATTTCATTTGGCTTTTGGATAACACAAATTATTTGCTGGCCTGACTCTCAAGGTCCCCAGTGGAGTCGCCAAGCTGTCGTAACGTCTAGATCCGGGGATCTATCGCTAGACATTAACTTTCAGGGAGTCGCCACCAATCTTTTTTGTCTAGGTGCGATTGGCCACCTAAGGAATCTGTCCTTTCAGGGAACACCTAAGCTTAAGGGTCCCTAAAAGAATAGGTTCAGGTCTGCTAACCAGAACAGGGTTCGGGAGTTCGGTTACGTGTGAGAAAGGTTATAGCACCCTCACAACGCCCATCAAAAGATGGTACCAGCTTAAACTTGTGTTATCCAAAAAGCCTTAAAATTTTACCAAGTAATTAGTTGTTGGAAATTATTCTCAATTGACTCTAATACTTTTAGCAGAAAATTGAGAAAATTCCCTCACCTCAGGAGTATGCAAGAAAGAACTACTGTTTCACTTGCAGAGGCTCCGTTGTCGGATTATTTAAAGGAAAAAAACAAAATCAAAATTAAGATAGAAAGGAAGGAAAGAATGATTTTTTTTTTGTAGGGAAAATTGATACTTTCAACTTTTTCCCAAAAATATTTTTTTTGAAATTTTGATTTTCAAGGAAAATTGATACTTTCAACTTTTCCCTAAAAATATTTTTTTTTTGGAAATTTATTTTTCTTTTAAGGAAAATTGATACTTTCAACTTTTCCCTAAAAATATTTTTTTTTGGAATTTTTTATTTTTGTTTAAAGAAAATAAAATAATAAAAAAATAGATAAAAAGAATATTACATAAACCTAATCTAATAAATAAAAAATAAAAAATAAAATAAACAAATAAACAAAGAAATAAAAAAAAAAAAACTGGAGCGGCTCGGCTCGGCTCGGCTCGGAGGGGGCTGGCACGCGTGGGTTAGAAAAGCGGGTCGACGCCCGGGTCGGGTCGGATTCGGCAAAACACGCGGATCCTCTGGGTTACTTAAGGCCAAAACGACGTCTTTTTGGGAGGGTATAAAAGGCACTCTCCTCCATTTTTCGGCAGAATGCTCCTCCCCTCTCTCTCTCTTCCTTTCCTTTTCTCTCCCTTCTCTCTAAAGACTGAAGAACACCGGTGCCGGATTCTGGAAAATTCGCCGGAATCTGGAAATTTCGCCGGAAGTTGGCCGGAAAATTGGTCGGTTTCTGGATTTCTCGCCGGAAACTGGGCACTTCGCCGGAAACTTCAAAGTTGGCCGGAATTGTAGCCGGAATTGGGCACTTTGCTCACTGTTTTCTCTGTTTTCATTCTGTTCCAGGGGGTGCCTTTTATAGGGATTGATCAGGAGTTCCTGATCAATCCCAATTCCTCCTTGGACGGGAATTCAATCTTTGAATCCCACTGAACTCTTCTGATTGAATTCCCATTTCCAATGGGATTCTTCAGCCTTCAATCTCAGCCCTCCAAAATCAAAATTAAATAAAATAAAAAACTAGATAATTAGAGAAGATAAATCAGCAGATATTATAGGATAAATAATAATAAAAAAATATATCAGATATATAATTAGATAAGTAAAAATACAAAAATGAATAAAATAAAAAAGATAAAAAAATATATATATATACATAAATAATAAAATACACATAAATATTAACAAAAAATAAATAAATAAATATATACATATATTAATACATAATAATAATAATAAATAATACAATACATAAAATACAAAAGAAGAAGAAAAGAGAAAAAAAAATACAAGATAAAATTGAATTGGGCTTACCCATTTGGGCCAGGCCCAATTGATTTGGGCCGGACCCAATTGGGTGTCTACAATAATAATAATTAATAAAAATGAAAACAAAAAATTAAACTAAAAATAAATAATGAGAAATCAAGTTTAAAATTTTTTTTATAGTTTTATTAAAAATTAAAATAATAAAATAAAAAATAACTAGATAATAATAATAATAACAATAATAAAAATGAAAATAAAATAATTTCATAACTTTTATTTTTTAAAAAAATTTGAAAAATAAAGAAGAATAATTACAAAAAATATATAAAAGAATAAAAATATATAAAAAAGTGGCAATGAAAATAGAATAATAAAAATATTTTTCTTCCAGCCTAAATGATGGAGGGAATAAAAATTGTTCTTTTAAAAGAATAATAATAAATAATTTCGTCTAGATGTTAGAAAATTATAAAATAATAAGAATAAAACAAATAATTAATTTATTAATAAATAATAATAGTAATAAATTTTTATAAAAAGAGAAATATACAAAAAAATTTTAATTAATTTTTGAAAATCATAAAAAAATGAACTTGCTTCGAAAGTTTACCTAGATGTTCGTATTTTTTTTAAACCCTAAAAAATTTAAATTCTAATACCCTAAAACCTCAAAACCCTAAAATTTCAAAACCTTCAAATAAGACCATATATATTAAAAATTTGTCAAGACCTTAAATCTATCTTAAACCATAAATTTGACACGCAATCTCGAATCATCACCTGAAAATCATTCAAACTTTAAAACTTTGACCTAAGCTTTACCCAAAACTATTTTAAAATTCTAAGGGTATATGTGAAAATCTTACATAAAATAATTTGTTCTTGAATGCCTCTTAGAAGATGAGGTATTTAAAAAATTTTATTTCATTAAGTTTTTCGTACGAGTCATTAATCTGCGATGATAATGGGATTAAAACAAAAGAAAAAATAAAATGGGATCTTAAATATATATATATATATATATATATATAGTTACACCTAAATTTTGCCTAGATGTTGGTGAGTTAAGATGGTCTCATTATATTTAAAAATTCAATTTCAAACTTATATTTCATCACCTTACATAACATCCATCGGCATACACACATATATTCATTATTGTTTGTACTAAGTTCATATATTTGTAGTTTTAATTATCGTTTGCTAGCTAATCATCATTAGTTTTTTCGCACAAAAATATTGTTTTAAATGTAGTTTAAAAATGTGAAATTATAAAATAAAATAAAAATAATATTTCGAAGGAAATAATTTTTAGTATTTTATCTAGATATTAGAGAGTCATTAACAATTCTCTTTTACAAAGAGTGTTATTTTTATTTTAAGGAATGTTGTGATAAATCTTAAGCGAAAAGAGTTATTTTAAATATTACCTAGATGTTGAAGAATTTTAAAGTAATTCTTTAACTTAAAAATTTCCTTGATATTCCTAAATAATAAACTTTAATAAAATTACTTTCTTTACAAAAAGAAATGAAGGAAATTATTATTAATTTTCAAATTAAAATCATTTTATCTAATACAAAAAATAGCGCATAATTAATATGTACCAATTTATGGGCATTGTAGAGGTGCTAATCTTTTTTCACACGTAATCAACTTTTGAATCTAATCTTGATTTTGTAGATCAAAAATTATCTTTTTGATAAACTTTAAACCTTTTTTTATAGTTTTATTAAAAAGATAAACTTTTGGATGATCAATTATATCTTAAAAAAGATTAATAGCGACTCTTTCAATTCTTCTCGATTTTAAAATTTTTTAATCTAGCGATTCTAAAATCGTTATGATAGCTTGGTAATTCTATTGGGGATGTTTTGAGAGTCAAGCAAAAAATTTAAATTATGCACTATTAACAAGTGTTGGATTTAATTGATTTTATTTTATATTTTATTTAATTCTCTTTATTTTAATTTTTCAAAAAAAAAAAAGCTAATAAATATAAATTGCATGTTAGTTATTACTTTGTTTTGATTTTGTGGTTATGATTTATTTATGTTATTTTGATTAATATGCCATTTTACACACTTTTGCATATATATTTACATGTATGATCTCTAAACCCAAGCTTTGTCTTTATTAGGAGAAATAAACTAGCTATGCTTTCGTGAGGTGATAATCTTCGTAATTGCTAGTG